TGCGCCGCCATTTCCCCCCTCACAAACTTTGCCCCCCCTCTTCCCGAACTGCCCCAAAACCCCCTTTTTTCACCCCAAAATCCCTTTTTTTCCCTCTCCCCAAAAATCCGCCTTTCGCCTCCTCCCTCACACCTTTAATCCCTCTTTTCTCCCCCTCACGCCTTGGCGCTAAACCCTGAGGGGCTCCCCATCCTGCGCATGCGCCGCCATTTCCTCACAAACTTTGCCCCCCTTCCTCCTGAACTGCCCCAAAACCCCCTTTTCTCACCCCAAAACCTCCTTTTTCACCCCAAAACCACCTTTCCCTCATCGTCTTTACCCCCTCCTCGTTCTTTTAATCCATTTTCTCCCCCACAAACACAAACGCTTTGGCGCCAAACCCTGAGGGGGGCTCCATCTCGCGCGCATGCGCCGCCATTTTCCCGCCTCCCCCTTCTCCCCTCCCTCCTCCCTCACCTCCCCCCGCCTTTCCCCTCAGGCCGCCATTTCCCCCCCGCGCCGCTCGTCCTCCCCTTCTCCCCCTCCATCCCCCTTCCACTCCCCTCACCCCTCGCAGCCGCTTGACCAGCGCGCTCTTCTGGCCGCTCTTGGCCAGCCCGCGCTGCTCCAGGGCCGCCTTCAGGTCGGCCACGCGGAGCAGGTGGAGCGGCCGCCCGTCCAGAGTCACCTCCTCCCCGTCCGCCATCTTGGCTGTGGCGCCGCCGCTTCCCCCCCCGGAGCCGCCGCCGCCGCCGCTTCGGCTCTTTCCGCCGCCCTCTTCGGCTCTTTCCGCCCTCCCTTCGGTGCTTTCCGCCTCTTTCCGCCTCCTTTCGGCGTTTCCCGGAGGGGCTTCGGGTGTTTCCGGAGCTATTCGGGTTTTTCCGCCGCTTTTCGGCGTTTTCCGGAGCCGCTTCGGGAGCCGAAGGGCCCTTCGTGTCTTTCCGGAGCTTTTCGGGTCTTTCCGGAGCTCCTTTTTTTGGGGCAATTTCGGGGCTTTTTGGGACCTTTTTTTTTTTGTTTGTTTGTTTGGGGGGATTTTAGAGAGTTTTAATTTTTATAGGGTCGATTTTGGGTGGTTTGGTCGCTCCCAGTTCAGTCCGAAGGGGTTTCCGGGTCGCTCCCAGTATAAACCAGTGTAGACCAGTAACCTCCCAGTCCCTCCCAGTGCCCCCCAATCCCCTCCCAGTTCCTCTCAGTGACCCCAATCCCTCCCAGTGCCCTCCCAGTATAAACCAGTGTCCCCCAATCCCCTCCCAGTCTTTCCCAGTGCCCTCCCAGTCCCTCCCAATCCCCTCCCAGTCCTTCCCAGTGGCCCCCCCAAACAGACATCACCTTTCTCCGGTTTCATTAGCATCTCATTAGCATAGTGGGCGGGGTTAAGCCCCTCCCAGTGCCCCCAATTCCCTCCCAGTCCCTCCCAGAGCCCCCCAATCCCCTCCCAGTGACCCCACAATCCCCTCCCAGTCCCTCCCAGTGGCTGCCAGTCCTCCTCCCAGTGCCCCCAATCCCCTCCCCCCAGTCCCTCCCAGTGCCCCCCCAGTGACCCCCTAATCCTCCCAGTCCCTCCAGTGCCCCCAGTGATCCCCAATCCTCCCAGTCCCTCCCAGTGCCCTCCAATCCCCTCCCAATCCCCTCCCAGTCCCTCCCAGTGCCCCCAATCCCCTCCCAGTCCCTCCCAATCCCCTCCCAGTGGCCTCCCAGTGCCCCCAATCCCCTCCCAGTCCCTCCCAGTGACCCCCCAATCCTCCCAGTGACCCCCCAATCCCTCCCAGTCCCTCCCAGTCCCTCCCAGTGCTCCTCTCCTAGTCCCTCCCCAGTGGCTCCCAGTCGCTCCCAGTGCCGGGCCTGAGTCCTTGGCGGTTTTCCTGTCCTGGATGTGCTGGGGTCCCTGGGGGTCCCCGGGGTCCCCGGGAGGGTCTGGGCGGCCCTGGGGGTCCCTCGGGGGAGGCAAATTGGGGTGGGGAGGCAAAATCGGTGGGGAGGGGCAAATCTGGGGAGGTGGAAATTTGGGGGTGGGGGTGGAAATTTGGGGGGTGGGGGTCGCAAATTTGGGGCCCCCCGCGCGGCCCCTGGAGGGGAAGGTGGCCGTGGTGACCGCCGGCACCGACGGGTGAGTCGAACGCACCCAAAATCGCCCGAAATCGACCCAAAATTAACCCGAAATTAACCCAAAATCACCCCCGAAATCGGCCCGGAACACGCCCCCAAAAAATCGACCCAAATCAACCCAAAATCACCCCGAAATTAACCCAAAATCACCTCGAAATTAACCCAAAATCACCTCGAAATTAACCCAAAATTAACCCAAAATCACCCCGAAATTAACCCAAAATCACCCCGAAATTAACCCAAAATTAACCCAAAATCAGCCCCGAAATCGCCCCGGAACACCCCCAAAAAATCGAACCAAATCAACCCTAAATCACCCCGAAATTAACCCAAAATCACCCCGAAATTAACCCAAAATTAACCCAAAATCACCCCGAAATTAACCCAAAAACTCCCCCAAATACCCCCCAAAAATCGACCCAAATCAACCCAAAATCACCCCGAAATTAACCCAAAATCACTTCGAAATACCCCCTAAAACACCCCCAAAATCACCTCGAATACCCCTTAAAAAAGCCCCAAAATCGCCCCAAATTAACCCAAAATTATCCAAAATTACCCTGAAATACCCCAAAATCACCCCCAAAATCGCCCCCGATTATCTCGAAATTAACCCTAAAAATTATCCTGAAATACCCCCTAAAACGGCCCCAAAATCGCCCCAAATTAACCCAAAATTATCCAAAAAAATTACCCTGAAATACCCCCAAAATCACCCCCAAAATCACCTCGAAATACCCCCTAAAAAAGCCCCAAAATCGCCCCAAATTAACCCAAAATTATCCAAAAAATTCACCCCGAAATACCCCCTAAAACACCCCCAAAATCACCCTAAATTAACCTGAAATAAACTCCTAAAATTACCCTGAAATACCCCCTAAATCACCCCAAAAATCATCCTGAAATATCCCTCAAAAATCGCCCCAAAATCACCCCAAGATTACCCCAAAACTACCCAAAATCACCCCCAAAATCACCCCGAAATACCCCCTAAAACGGCCCCAAAATCGCCCCAAATTAACCCGAAATAAACCCTAAAAATTACCCTGAAATACCCCCTAAATCACCCCAAAAATCATCCTGAAATATCCCCCATAAATCACCCCCAAGACACCCCAAGATTACCCCAAAACTACCCAAAAATTATCCTGAAATACCTCCAAAATCACCCCCAAAATCGCCCCCAAAATCACCCCGAAATACCCCCTAAAAAAGCCCCAAAATCGCCCCAAATTAACCCAAAATTATCCAAAAAATTACCCTGAAATACCCTAAAAATACCTTCTAAAATCGTTCCTGATTAACCCGGAATTAACCCTAAACACTCTGAAATACCCTCAGGCTGCTCTGCATCCCCCAACTTAACTCCGAAATTAACCCAAAATACCCCCTGAAATATCCCTCTAAAACGGTCCCCAAATGCCCCCAAATCCCCCCCAAACTCTCACCTGGGACTTCTAACCCAAATCCCCCCTAAACTCTTTTCCCAAATCCCCCCAAACTTTCCTTAAATCCTTTCCCAAACCCCAAAAGATTTTATCTTTATCCCCAATTTAGATCGGTTTACCGAAGCTTTGGGGTGGGCGGTCTGGGTCCTGCTGAGCTCCCGCCCCCCCAAACCTCTCAACTCTCTCAAATCCCCAAACTCCCCCAAACTTTCCCCAATTCTCCAAACCCCCTAAAGTTTCCAAACCCCCTAAATTTATTTTTATCCTTTTTAATCCCAATTTTTAGGATCGGCTTGGCCATTTCTGAAGCTTTAGGGTGGCGGCCCGGGTCCTGCTGAGCTCTGCCCCCAAACCCCCAAATCCCCCCAAATCCCCCTCAAACTCCCCCAAACTCCCTCCCAAACTTCCCAAATCCTCCCAAATCCTAATTCCCCAAACTCTCCTAAATTTATTTTTTATCCCTTTTATCCCCAATTTCAGGATCGGTTTGGCCATTTCCGAAGCTTTGGGGTGGGCGGGGCCCGGGTCCTGCTGAGCTCCCTGCCCTCCAAACCCCCCTCAAATCCCCCCAAACTCCCCAAAACTCTCCCAAACTCTCCTCCAAATCCCCCCCCAAACTCTCCTAAATTTATTTTTTTATCCCTTTTATCCCAATTTTAGGATCGGTTTGGCCATTTCCGAAGCTTTGGGGGTGGGCGGGGCCCGGGTCCTGCTGAGCTTCCGCTCCCCAAACCCCTCAAATCCCCCTCAAATCCCCCTCTAAACTCTCCCAAACTTCCTCAAACACCCCAAATCTCCTCCCTTTACTCCCCAAAATTTATTTTTTATCCCTTTTATCCCCAATTTTAGGATCGGTTTGGCCATTTCCGAAGCTTTGGGGTGGGCGGGGCCCGGTCCTGCTGAGCTCCTGCCCCTCAAACCCCTCAAATCCCCCTCAAATCCCCCAAATCCTTCCCAAACCTTCCCAAACCTTCCCAAATCCCCTTTCCCAAACTCTCCTAAATTTATTTTTTATCCCTTTTATCCCAATTTTTAGGATCGGTTTGGCCATTTCCGAAGCTTTGGGGGTGGGCGGGGCCCGGGTCCTGCTGAGCTCTGCCCCAAACCCCTCAAATCCCCCAAATCTCCCGAAATCTCCCAAACTCTCCCAAATCCTCCCAAATCCCTCCCAAACTCTCCTAAATTTATTTTTTTATCCCTTTTATCCCCCAATTTTTAGGATCGGTTTGGCCATTTCCGAAGCTTTGGGGTGGGCGGGGCCCGGTCCTGCTGAGTCCTCGTCCCCCAAACCCCCCAAATCTTCCTCAAATCCCCTAAATCTCCCCAAACTTTCCTAAACACCCCCAAATCTCCCCCTTACACCCCTAAAATTTATTTTTATCCCTTTTATCCCCAATTTTTAGGATCGGTTTTGGCCATCTTCGGAGGCTCCTGGGGTGGGCGGGGCCTGGTCCTGCTGAGCTTCTCGCCACGCCCCCCACGTGGCCCGGAGCTGTCAATCACCTGAGGGGGCGTGGCCTGCAGGTGAGCGGGCGTCACGTGCCACGTGGGCCACGCCCCCGACCGACAGCGCCTCCTGCAGGCCGTGAGTGGAGGGGATTTTTGGGGGGATTTTTGGGGTTTTTGGGGATTTTTGGGGATTTTCGGGGGTTCTGGGGAGGTTGGGGGGGTTGGGGGTCGATGTTGGGAGGTTTGGGGGGGTAAAAGGGGGTTTGGGGGATTTTGGGGTATTTTTGGGGTGATTTTGGGGATTTGGGGGCTTTGGGGTGATTTTGGGAGGTGTTTTGGGGGATTTTGGAGGTGGCTTGGAGGTGATTCTGGGTGAATTTGGGGTGATTTTGTAGGTGATTTTTGGGGTGTTTGGGGGTGTTTTGGGGGCTTGGAGTGATTTGGGGATATTTTAGGGCTGTTTTGGGGTGAATTTGGGGTGATTTTGGGGGTGATTTTGGGGTGAATTTAGGATGATTGTGGGTGATTTTGGGGTATCTGTAGGGTATTTTAGGTGCATTTTGAGGGTGATTTCTTGGGGAGGTGTTTTGGGGTGATTTTGGGTGGTTTTAGGGTGATTTCAGAGTTATTTTGAGGGGTGATTTTGGGGTGATTTCGGGGGTTTAGATTTTGGGGTGATTTTGGGGTGATTTTGGGGTGTTTTTGGGGTGAATTTGGGGTGATTTGGGGTGATTTTGGGGTGATTTTGGGGTGATTTTGGGGTATTTTGGGCATTTTTGGGGTGATTTTGGGTGGTGTTTTAGAGGTGATTTTAGGGATTTTGGGCATTTCAGGGTGATTTTGGGGTATTTTTAGGGTGATTTTGGGGTGATTTGGGTGATTTTGGGGTGTTTTAGGGTGATTTTGGGTGTGATTTTGGGGTGATTTTGGGGGTATTTTCGGGGTGTTTTGGGGGGTGGATTTGGGATAATTTCAGAGTGATTTTGGGGTGATTTTGGGGTGTTTGCGAGTGATTGTGATTTAACTTTGGGGTGATTTGGGGTGATTTTAGGGTGCATTTTGGGGGTGAATTTGAGGTGATTTTTGGGGGGTGATTTTGGGGTGATTTCATGGTGTTTTCGGGCTGGGTTTGGGTATTTTAGAGGGGATTTTGGAGAGGTTTTGGGGTGATTTGGGAGTGATTTTGGGGTGACTTCAGAGTGATTTTGGGGGGTGATTTTGGGGTGAATTTGGGGCGATTTTGGGGGCGTTTTTGGGGTGATTTTAGGGGCCTTTTGGGGTGATTTTGGGGTGATTTTGGATATATTTTAGGGGCGTTTTGGGGGTGAATTCGGGGTGATTTTGGGGTGATTTCAGGGTGGTTTTGGGGTCGATTTGGGGTGCCCCAGGTGCGTTTCGGGGTGAATTTTTGCCATCCAGGTGGATTTTGGGGGGGATTTTGGGGGGATTTTGGGGTGATTTCGGGGTGTTTTTGGGACTGGGTTTGGGTATTTTAGAAGTGATTTTGGAGAACTTTTGGGGTGAATTGGGGGGGATTTTGGGGGGTGTTTTGGGGTGACTTCAGAGTGATTTTGGGGTGATTTTGGGGGGTGATTTTGGGGTGTTTTTGGGGCTGGGTTTGGGTATTTTAGAGGTGATTTTGGGGGTATTTTGGGGTGATTTTGAGGGTATTTTAGGGGCGTTTTGGGGGTGATTTTGGGGGGTGATTTTGGGGTGGTTTTGGTTTGGTTTTGGGGTTAATTTCGGTTGCCCCACGTTCATTTTGGGGTGATTTTGGGGTGCCCCAGGTGCATTTTGGGGTGAATTTTGACCATCCAGGTGGATTTTGGGGGCTGATTTGGGGGGTGCCCGGGGTGGGCGTGGTCTCAGCCCCCCCAAATTTGCCCCCTGCCCCCCCAAATTCCCCCCCAAAGGCGCTGGAGACGTTCGGGGGCATCGACATCCTGGTGTCCAACGCCGCCGTCAACCCCCACCTGGGCCCCGCCCTCGACGCCGACGAGAACACCTGGGACAAGGTTGGGGGGGGTTTGGGGGATTTTGGGGGTTTTATTGGGATTTTTTGGGAGGATTTTTGGATTTTTTTTTTAAGGGGTTTTTTTGGGGATTTTTTGGGGATTTTTTGGGGATTTTTTGGTGATTTTTGGGGGATTTTTTGGTGATTTTTGGGGCTTTTTTTGGGGATTTTTGGAGGATTTTTGAGGGTTTTTTAAGGGTTTTTTTGGGGTATTTTTTACTAATTTCGGGGGGATTTTTTGGCGATTTTTGGGGCTTTTTTAGTGGATTTTTTTGAGGCATTTTGTGGGGTTTTTGGGATTTTTTGGATTTTTGAGGGTTTTTGCAGTATTTTTGGGAATTTTTGGGATTTTTTGGTGATTTTGGGGCTTTTTGTGGATTTTTGGAGATTTTTAAGGGTTTTTGGGGAATTTTGGGGTGATTTTTTGATGATTTTTGGGGGGTTTTTTTGAGGTTTTTTTGAGGATTTTTTAATTTTTTTTAAAGGGTTTTTTGGGGGTTTTTTTTGTGGGTTTTTTTGAGGATTTTTGACATTTTTTTAAAGGTTTTTTTTAGGGGATTTTTTGACGATTTTTGGAGGGTTTTTTAAGGGGTTTTTTAGGGCTTTTTTGTGGATTTTTGGAGAATTTTTGGATTTTTTTAAGACGATTCTTTGGGATTTTTGAGTGATTTTTTGTAGATTTTTGGCGATTTTTGGGGGATTTTTTGTGGATTTTTGGAGGATTTTTGAGGGGTTTATTAAGGGTTTTTTGGGGATTTTTGAGGGGGTTTTAAGGGTTTTTTGGGGGGATTTTTTGAGAAATTTTAGAAGGATTTTTATAGGGGATTTTTTGACGATTTTTGGGGGATTTTTTGGCGATTTTTGGGGGTTTTATTGTGATTTTTTGGGAGGATTTTTGGATTTTTTTTTAAGGGGTTTTTTTGGGATTTTTTGGGGATTTTTTGGTGATTTGGGGGGATTTTTTGGGGATTTTTGGGGCTTTTTTTGTGGATTTTTGGAGGATTTTTGAGGGGTTTTTGGGGGGTTTTATTGGGATTTTTTGGGAGGATTTTTGTATTTTTTTTTTAAGGGATTTTTTGGGGATTTTTTGATGATTTTTTGGGGATTTTTTGGCGATTTTTGGGGCTTTTTTGTGGATTTTTGGAGGGTTTTTAAGTGGTTTTTTTGGGGAATTTTGGGTGATTTTTTGATGATTTTTGGGGGGTTTTTTTGAGGTTTTTTTGAGGATTTTTTAATTTTTTTTAAAGGGTTTTTTGGGGGTTTTTTTTGTGGGTTTTTTTGAGGATTTTTGACATTTTTTTAAAGGTTTTTTTTAGGGGATTTTTTGACGATTTTTGGAGGGTTTTTTAAGGGGTTTTTTGGGGGTTTTATTGGGATTTTTTGCGAGGATTTTTGTAATTTTTTTTAAGGGTTTTTTTGGGGATTTTTTGATGATTTTTTGGGGATTTTTTGGCGATTTTTGGGGGATTTTTTGTGGATTTTTGGAGGTTTTTTAAGGGTTTTTTTGGGGAATTTTGGGGTGATTTTTTGATGATTTTTGGGGGGTTTTTTTGAGGGTTTTTTGAGGACTTTTTAATTTTTTTTAAAGGGTTTTTTGGGGGGTTTTTTTGTGGTTTTTTTTAAGGATTTTTGACATTTTTTTAAAGGTTTTTTTTAGGGGATTTTTTGACGATTTTTGGAGGGTTTTTTAAAGGGTTTTTTGGAGGTTTTATTGGGATTTTTTTGGAGGATTTTGGGATTTTTTTTAAGGGATTTTTTGGGGATTTTTTGGGGATTTTTGGGGCTTTTTTTGTGGATTTTTGGAGGATTTTTGAGGGGTTTTTTGAGGGTTTTTTGGGGATTTTTTAACGGATTTTGGGGGGATTTTTTGGCAATTTTGGGGGCTTTTTTAGTGGATTTTTTGGAGGCATTTTGGCAGGGATTTTAAGGGGTTTTTTGGGGTTTTTTTTGTGGATTTTTGGAGGGGTTTTTAAGGGTTTTTTGGGGGGAATTTTTGGGGGATTTTTTGGTGATTTTTGGGGCTTTTTTGGGGATTTTTGGGGGGATTTTTTGATGTTTTTTGGAATTTTTTAAGGGTTTTTTTTTGGAATTTCTTGATTTTTTGGCGATTTTTGGGGGTTTTTTTCGTGGATTTTTGGAGGGTTTTTTAAAGTTTTTTGAGGGGAATTTTTGGGTGATTTTTTTGGGGATTTTTGGGGCTTTTTTTGTGAATTTTTGGAGGATTTTTGGATTTTTTAAAGGGTTTTTTGGGGGGATTTTTTTGACGATTTTTTTGGGATTTTTTGGCGATTTTGGGGGCTTTTTTCGTGGATTTTTTTGAGGATTTTTGGAGGGTTTTTAAGGGTTTTTTGGGGGGGAATTTTTGGGGATTTTTTGTAGATTTTTGGGGCTTTTTTGGCAATTTTTTTGGACGATTTTTGGATTTTTTAAAGAGTTTTTTGGGGGATTTTTTTACGATTTTTGGGTGATTTTTTGGCGACTTTTGGGGCTTTTTTCATGGATTTTTTTGAGGTTTTTTGGCGGTTTTTTAAGGGGGTTTTTGGGGCTTTTATTGTGATTTTTTTGAGGATTTTTGGGGTTTTTTTAAGAGTTTTTTGGGGGGATTTTTTGATGATTTTATGGAGATTTGGGGCACTTCTTTTTTGCAATTTTTTTGAGAATCTTTGGCAATTTTTGAGGGTCTTTTGGTGGGATTTTTTGGCTATTTTTGAGGGATTCCATTCATGATTTTATTGTGGATTTTTGGCCATTTTTTAAGGGGTTTTTGGGGGGAGTTTTGACGATTTTTTGGCAATTTTGGGGGCTTTTTTTGCAATTTTTTCCAAGAACTTTTGTTGTTTTTTAAGGATTTTTTGGGGGAGTTTTTGACGATTTATTGATGAAATTTTGAGGAATTTTAAGATATTTTTTGACAACTTTTTCCGAGGATTTTTGGCATTTTTTAAGGGGTTTTTGGGGGCTTTTCTGACAATTTTGGGGGGATTTTTTGGGAGGATTTTTTTTATTTTTTTCCTGATTTCTGGCGATTTTTGGGGCGTTTTTTTCGCGATTTCCCCCCACCATTTCTACCATTTTTTCTTACCTTTTTTTTTGCCCAAAATGGTTCTTTTTTCACCCAAAACCCCCCCGAATTTCCCAGATTTTCCAGGTGAACGTGACGGCGGCCGCGATGCTGGTGAAGCTCGTGGTGCCCCACATGGAGAAAAGGGGGTAATTAATTCATTAACTCCTTAATTAACTCATTAATTAATTTACTAATTAATCAAAAACAAGGCCTGGGAGGAACTGGGTGGGGCTTAAAAGGGCGTGGCTGGAGGGGGAGGGGCTTAAAGGGGCGTGGTCTGAAGAGGGAGGAGCTTAAATGGGGAGGGGCTTAAAGGGGTGTGGTTTGGGATGGGAGGGGCTTGAGTGGGCGTGGTCAAAAATGGGCGTGGCCAAAGTGGGAGGGGGCTCGTGGGGGTTGATTTGTGGGAGGGACTTAAAGGGGCGTGGCTTTGTAAGGGGGTGTGGCTTTTAAAGGGGCGTGGCTTGAGGTGGGAGGAGCTTAAATAAATGGGGGTGTGGCTTAAAGGGGCGTGGCCAAGTGGGAGGGGCTTGGGTGGCTTTAAAGGGTGGGGTTTAAAGTGGGCGTGGCTTTAAGAGGAAGGGGGTGGGGCTTAAGGGGGTGGGCGTGGCTTGAAGGGGGTGTGGTCAGGATTAAGCTCCACCCCCTTCCCGTTTAGGGGCGGGGCCATCGTGGTGATGTCATCGATCGCCGGCTACCGCCCAATGCCGGTGAGGGGGGCGGGGCTTGGGCAAAAGGGCGGGGCCACAACAGAAAGGGGGGGAGGTTGCTCCCAAAATTTGGAATATTTCCCTTTCAAAAATCGTCCCAAAATTCCAATTTTTGGCCTCAAAAACCACCCTGGGGGTTTTTTGGGGGTTGTGACAAAATACGTCAATTTGAGCCCAAAATTGGCAGTTTTTGGCCCACAAAATTCTATTTTTTTGTCCTCAAAATTCTCAATTTCACTCCAAAAATCTTAATTATGTCGCAAAATTTTCAATTTCACCTCAAAATTCTTTAATTTCACCCCCAAAATCCTTCAATTTGATGCCAAAATTCTTCAATTTTACCCCAAAATTCTTTGATTTGCCCCCAAATTTTCCATTTTACCCCCAAAATTCTCCATTTTACCCCCAAAATTGTCCATTTGACCCCCAAAATTCTTCATTTTACTCCAAATTCTCCATTTCACCCCAAAATTCCTTAATTTTACCCCCAAAATTCTCCATTTGACCCCAAAATTCTCCATTTAACCCCAAATTCTTCAATTTTACCCCAAAATTCTACATTTTACCCCCAAAATTCTCCATTTCCCCCCAAAATTCTCCATTTTGACCCAAAATCCTCCATTTCACCCCAAAATTTTCCATTTTACCCCTAAAATTTTCCATTTTACCCCCAAAATTCTTTATTTTACCACCAAAATTCTTTACTTTGTCCCCAAAATTCTCCATTTTATCCAAAATTCTTTAATTTTACCCCCTAAATTCTCCATTTCACCCCAAAATTTTCCATTTTGCCCCAAAGTTCTTTCATTTCACCCCCAAAATTCTCCGTTTTCCCCCAAAATTCTTCAATTTCACTCCCAAAGATTCCTTAATGAGCGACTTTAATTAACATTAATTGACAATGGGGCTTTGTGGGCGTGGTCAGGGCTATGCAAATGAGGTGGGCGTGGTTTGGATCCTCAGAGGGCGCCCCCTGCTGGCCCTGGGCGCTCAAACCACCCCCCAAAACTCAACTAAAGTCCCATTAATGAGCGACTTTAATTAACATTAATGGTCAAGGGGGGGGTGTGGCCGCTTTGTGGGCGTGGTCAGGGCTATGCAAATGAGGTGGGCGTGGTTTAGAGCCTCAGAGGGCGCCCCCTGCTGGCCCTGGGCGCTCAAACCACCCCCCAAACTCAACCAATGTCTCATTAGTGAGCGACTTTAATTAACATTAATTGACAATGAGGCTTTGTGGGCGTGGTCATGGCTATGCAAATGAGGTGGGCGTGGTTTGGATCCTCAGAGGGCGCCCCCTGCTGGCCCTGGGCGCTCAAACCACCCCCCAAACTCAACCAAAGTCCCATTAATGAGCGACTTTAATTAACGTTAAAGGACAAAGGGGGGGCGTGGCCGCTTTGTGGGCGTGGTCAGGGTTATGCAAATGAGGTGGGCGTGGTTTGGATCCTCAGAGGGCGCCCCCTGCTGGCCCTGGGCGCTCAAACCACCCACCAAACTCAACTCAAGTCTCATTAACGAGCGACTTTAATTAACATTAATGGACAATGGGGGCGTGGCCACTTTTGTGGGCGTGTCCAGGGCTATGCAAATGAGGTGGGCGTGTCCACAGCATTCAGAGGGCGCCCCCTGCTGGCTCTGGGCCCTCAAACCACCCCCCAAACTCAACTAAATGTTCACTAATGGGTGACTTTAATTAACATTAATGGTCAATGGGGGGGTGTGGCCGCTTTGTGGGCGTGGTCAGGGTTATGCAAATGAGGTGGGCGTGGTTTAGAGCCTCAGAGGGCGCCCCCTGCTGGCCCTGGGCGCTCAAACCACCCCCAAAACTCCACTAAAGTCCCATTAATGAGCAACTTTAATTAACATTAATTGACAATGAGGCTTTGTGGGCGTGGCCAGGGCTATGCAAATGAGGTGGGCGTGGCTTAAATTATCAGAAGGCGCCCCCTGCTGGCCCTGGGCGCTCAAACCACCCCTAAAACTCAACTAAATGTTCAATAATTAATGACTTTAATTAACATTAATGGACAATAAGTGGGCGTGGCCACTTTGTGGGCATGTCCAGGGTTATGCAAATGAGGTGGGCGTGGTTTGGATCCTCAGAGGGCGCCCCCTGCTGGCCCTGGGCTCTCAAATCACCCCCCAAAACTCAACCAATGTCTCATTAATGAGCGACTTTAATTAACATTAATTGACAATGGGGCTTTGTGGGCGTGGTCAGGGCTATGCAAATGAGGTGGGCGTGGTTTGGATCCTCAGAGGGCGCCCCCTGCTGGCCCTGGGCGCTCAAACCACCCCCCAAACTCAACTAAATGTTCATTAACGAGCGACTTTAATTAACGTTAATGAATAATAAGAGAGTGTGGCCGCTTTGTGGGCGTGGTCAGGGCTATGCAAATGAGGTGGGCGTGGTTTAGAGCCTCAGAGGGCGCCCCCTGCTGGCCCTGGGCGCTCAAACCACCCCCAAAACTCAACATAAGTCCCATTAATGAGCGACTTTAATTAACGTTAATGGACGTGGGCGTGGCTGCTTTGTGAGCGTGTCTGTGTTTATGCAAATGAGGTGGGCGTGGTTTAAATCCTCAGAGAGCGCCCCCTGCTGGCCCTGGGCGCTCAAACCACCCCCAAAACTCAACCAATGTCCCATTAATGAGCGACTTTAATTAAGATTTTTAAATAAGAAGTGGGTGGGGCCTCTTTGTGGGTGTGGCCATGTCTATGCAAATGAGGTGGGCGTGGTTTGGATCCTCAGAGGGCGCCCTCTGCTGGCTCTGGTAGTTCAAACCACCACCCAAAGTCAATCCCAGGCTGATTAAAGAGCGACTTTAATTAACGTTAATGGGCAAAGGGGGGGCGTGGCCGCTCTGTGGGCGTGTCCAGGGCTATGCAAATGAGGTGGGCGTGTCCCGGGCAGGGATTGGGCCCCTACAGCGTGAGCAAGGCGGCCCTGCTGGGGCTGGTGCAGGCCCTGGGGCCGGAGCTGCTGCCCCGGGGGATCCGAATCAACGGCGTCGCCCCCGGCATCATCCGGACACGATTCAGCGCCGCGGTGACTGGGGGCACTGGGTTATACTGGGAGGGACTGGGAGGGACTGGGAGGGGATTGGGGGGGCATTGGGATAAACTGGGAGGGACTGGGAGGGGATTGGGAGGCACTGGGAGGGACTGGGAGGGACTGGGAAGGGATTGGGGGCACTGGGAGGGACTGGGAGGGGTTGGGATAAACTGGGAGGGATTGGGGGTCATTGGGAGGGGATTGGGGGCACTGGGTGGCACTGGGAGGGATTGGGGGCACTGGGAGGGACTGGGAGGGGGCTGGGGGCACTGGGAGGGACTGGGAGGGACTGGGAGGGGATTGGGGGCACTGGTTTGGACTGGGAGGGAGTTAAAGGGGGTTAAAGGGGATTTGGGGTAACTGGGGGCACTGGGAGGATTGGGGGCACTGGGAGGGATTGGGATAAACTGGGAGGGATTGGGGGCACTGGGAGGGATTGGGGCACTGAGGAGATTGGGATAAACTGGGAGGGACTGGGAGGGGATTGGGGGGCACTGGGAGGATTGGGATAAACTGGGAGGGACTGGGAGGGATTGGGGGCACTGGGAGGGGATTGGGGGCACTGGGAGGGGATTGGGATAAACTGGGAGGGACTGGGAGGGGATTGGGGGGCACTGGGAGGGGATTGGGATAAACTGGGAGGGACTGGGAGGGGATTGGGATAAACTGGGAGGGAGTTAAAGGGAGTTTAAGGGGGATTTGGGGTAACTGGGAGGGACTGGGAGTTACTGGTTGTTACTGGTTTGGTCTCTGGGGGTCCCTGGGAGTTACTGGTTGTTACTGGTTTGGGGTTTGGGGGTCACTGGGGGTCACTGGGAGTTACTGGTTGTTACTGGTTTGGGGTTTGGGGGTCACTGGGAGTTACTGGGAGTTACTGGTTTGGGCTCTGGGGGTCACTGGGAGTTACTGGGAGTTACTGGTTTGGGCTCTGGGGGTCACTGGGAGTCAGTGGGAGTTACTGGTTGTTACTGGTTTGGGCTCTGGGGGTCACTGGGGGTTACTGGGAGTTACTGGTTGTTACTGGTTTGGGCTCTAGGGGTCACTGGGGGTCACTGGGGGTTACTGGTTGTTACTGGTTTGGGGTTTGGGGGTCACTGGGGGTCACTGGGAGTTACTGGTTGTTACTGGTTTGGGCTCTGGGGGTCACTGGGAGTTACTGGTTGTTACTGGTTTGGGCTCTGGGGGTCACTGGGAGTTACTGGTCGTTACTGGTTTGGGGTTGGGGGGTTACTGGGAGTTACTGGTGGTTACTGGTTTGGGCTCTGGGGGTCACTGGGAGTTACTGATTGTTACTGGTTTGGGCTCTAGGTGTCACTGGGGGTTACTGGGAGTTACTGGGAGTTACTGGTTTGGGGTAGGGGGCGTGGCCCTGTTGGGTGGGCGTGTCCTGCTGAGGCCACGCCCCTTTCCCCTCCCCCTCCCCCAGCTCTGGGAGGACGAGGCCGTCCGGAAAAAGACGATGGAGACCCTCGGGATCCAACGGTGAGTGGGACCAGTATGGACCAGTATAGACCAGTATAGACCAGTATGAACCACTACAGACCAGTATAAACCAGCAGGGAGCACTGTAGACCAGTAGGAACCAGTATAAACCAGTATAGACCAATATGAAGCAGTATAAACCAAACCAGTTTAAACCAGTACAGACCAGTATAAACCAGTACAAACCAGTATAAACCAGTGTGAACCAGTATAAACCACTATGAGCCACTACAGACCAGTATAAACCAGTACAGACCAGTATAAACCAGTGTGAACCAGTATAAACCAGTAGGGAGCACTGTAGACCAGTAGGAACCAGTATAAACCAGTATAAACCAGTATAGACCAATATGAAGCAGTATAAACCAAACCAGTTTAAACCAGTACAGACCAGTATAAACCAGTACAAACCAGTATAAACCAGTGTGAACCAGTATAAACCACTATAAGCCACTACAGACCAGTATAAACCAGTACAGACCAGTATAAACCAGTGTGAACCAGTGTAAACCACTATAAGTCACTATAGACCAGTATAAACCAGTAGGGAGCGCCATAGACCAGTAGGGACCAGTATAAACCAGTACAGGCCAGCACAGAGCCCTCCCAGTCCCTCCCAGTGACTCCTCCCAGTGCTCCCAGTAAGGGAACAAACTGGTCCCAGTCGCTCCCAGTCCCTCCCAGTGCCCCCCAATCCCTTCCCAGTATAGCCCAGTCTATCCCAGTGCCTCCCAGTGCCCCCCAATCCTTTCCCAGTATAGCCCAGTCTATCCCAGTGCCTCCCAGTGCCCCCCAATCCCCTCCCAGTCCCTCCCAGTGCTCTCCCAGTATAAACCAGTCACTCCCAGTGGCCCCAATCCCCTCCCAGTCCCTCCCAGTCCCTCCCAGTGCCCCCCAGTCTCCTCCCAGTCCTCCCCAGTGCCCCCCAATCCCTTCCCAGTCCCTCCCAGTGCCCCCAATCCCTTCCCAGTCCCCTCCCAGTGCCCCCAGTCCCTTCCCAGTCCCTCCCAGTGCCCCCAATCCCTCCCAGTGCCCTCCCAGTGCCCCCAATCCTCCCCAGTCCCTCCCAGTGCCCCCAGTGACTCCCAGTGTTCCCAGTCTGGGCCTCTCCGCGGACGTGGCCGAGGTGGTTTCGTTCCTGGTGTCCCGAGCTCCTCCCAGTGCCTCCCAGTCCCCTCCCAGTGCCCCTCAATCCCCTCCCAGTCCCTCCCAGTGCCCCTCGATCCCTCCCAGTGCCCCTCAATCCTCCCAGTCCCTCCCAGTGCCCCCAATCCCTCCCAGTCCCTCCCAGTGCCCCTCGATCCCCTCCCAGTGCCTCCCAATCCCTCCCAGTCCCTCCCAGTGCCCCCAATCTCCTCCCAGTCCCTCCCAATCCCCTCCTAGTGCCCCCCAGTGCCCCCAGTGACTCCCAGTGTTCCCAGTCTGGGCTCCCCGCGGGACGTGGCCGAGGTGGTTTCGTTCCTGGTGTCCCCCAGTCCCTCCCAGTCCCTCCCAGTACCCTCCCAGTCCCCTCCAGTGCCCTCCCAGTCCCTCCCAGTCCCTCCCAGTGCCCCCCGATCCCCTCCCAGTGCCCCCAGTGACTCCCAGTGTTCCCAGTCTGGGCTCCCCACGGGACGTGGCCGAGGTGGTTTCGTTCCTGGTGTCCCCGAGCTCCTCCTACGTCACCGGGGAGACCCTCGTGGTGGCCGGGGGGGCCCCCGCCCGCCTCTGACCACGCCCCCCTATGCTAATGAGATGATAATTATATGCTAATGAGATGTTAATGATATGGGAAAGGAAAAGTTTGATTGGGGGGGCACTGGGAGGGACTGGGAGGGGATTGGGGGGCACTGGGAGGGACTGGGAGGGGATTGGGGGGCACTGAGAGGGAGTTTAGGGGTTACTGGTTTATACTGGGAGGAACTGGGAAGGGATTGGGGGCCACTGGGAGGGATTGGGAGGGGATTGGAGGGCACTGGGAAGGAGTTTAGCGGTTACTGATTTATACTGGGAGGCACTGGGAGGGGATTGCGGGGCACTGGGAGGGACTGGGAGGGGATTGGGGGGCACTGGGAGGGACTGGGACCGAGTTTGGGGGTTACTGGTTTATACTGGGAGGGACTGGGAGGGGATTGGGGGGCACTGGGAGGCTGTGGGACCGAGTTTGGGGGTTACTGGTTTATACTGGGAGGGACTGGGAGGGACTGGGAGGGGATTGGGGGGCACTGGGAGGGACTAGGACTGAGTTTGGGGGTTACTGGTTTATACTGGGAGCTGGGAAGCTGTGGGGGTACTGGAGACCTTCGTGGTGGCCGGGGGGTCCCCCGTCCGCCTCTGACCACGCCCACCATGCTAATGAGATGTTAATGACATGGTAATTATATGTTAATTATATGTTAATTATATGGGAAAGGAAAAGTCCGGTTGGGGGGCTACTGGGAGGGACTGGGAGGGGATTGGGGGGTACTGTGGAGGGACTGGGAGGGGATTAGGGGGCACTGGGAGGGTGTTTAGGGGTTACTGGTTTATACTGGGAGGGACTGGGAGGGCATTGGGGGGCACTGGGAGGCTGTGGGACCGAGTTTGGGGGTTACTGGTTTATACTGGGAGGGACTGGGAGGGGAGTGGGGGGCACTGGGAGGCTGTGGGACCAAGTTTGGGGGTTACTGGTTTATACTCAGAGGGACTGGGAGGGACTGGGAGGGGAGTGGGGGGCACTGGGAGGCTGTGGGACCAAGTTTGGGGGTTACTGGTTTATACTCAGAGGGACTGGGAGGGGAGTGGGGAGCACTGGGAGGGACTGGGACTGAGTTTGGGGGTTACTGGTTTATACTGGGAGGGACTGGGAGGGGATTGGGGAGCACTGGGAGGGACTGGGACTGAGTTTGGGGGTTACTGGTTTATACTGGGAGGGACTGGGAGGGAAGGGGGAGACCCTTGTGGTGGCTGGGGGCCCCGCCCGCCTCTGACCACGCCCACCCCGCTAATGAGATGCTAATGAGATGATAATGACATGTAAATGATATTCTGATTGTTAATTATATGGGAAAGGAAAAGTCTGGTTGGGGGGCACTGGGATGGACTGGGAGGGGATTCGGGGCACTGGGAGGGATTGGGAGGGGATTGGGGGCACTGGGAGGGGATTGGGGACACTGGGAGGGGATTGGGGGTCACTGGTTTGTACTGGGAGGGTCTGGGAGGGGATTGGGGGTCACTGGTTTGTACTGGGAGGGTCTGGGAGGGGATTGGGGGGCACTGGTTCATACTGGGAAGGCACTGGGAGGGGATTGGGGTCACTGCTTTGGACTGGGAGGGGATTGGCAGTCACTGGTTTGTACTGGGAGGGCACTGGGACGGTCTGGGTGAGCAGCGAGACCTTGGGGGTCCCCGCCTCTATGCAAATTTTATGCAAATGAGATGTAAAATAAATGTAAATTGCATGTAAATTATATGCAAATTGAATGAGTTGCTTGGGGGGGCACTGGGAGGGACTGGGAGGGGATTGGGAGGCACTGGGAGGGAACTGGGAGGGACTGGGGACACTTTGACCTCAAATCCCCCTCCCAAACTCCCCAAAAAATGTCATTTTTAGCCTAAAATCCCCCCCAAATCTGCCACTTTTTTACCTCAAATTTTACCCCAAAACGGCTTTTTTTAACCCCAAACTCCCCGTTAAAACCCCAAAACCCGAATTTTTCACCCCAAAAAGGCTTTTTTAACCCAAAACTCCCTTTTAAAACACCAAAACCCACCGATTTTACCCCAAATCCCCTCACGAAACCCCCTCAGAAAAACCCCCTAAAATGCACAAAAAAATAAAAATTCTTCCCTTCCCTTAAAACTCTCCCCAACCTCCTTTTTATTTACCTTTAACTAATTAAAAACACACGACTTTATTATTATTATTATTATTATTATTATTATTTTCTCACCTTTTGCCGCTTTAAACCCAAGTCATGCCCTCACTCAAAACGGCACCCACCCCTTCTCCCCAAATCTGCCACTTTTTTACCTCAAATTTTACCCCAAAATGACGTTTTTTAACTCCAAACTCCCTCTTTTAACCCCAAAACCCGACGATTTTACCCCAAAGCCCGACGATTTTACCCCAAAACGGCTTTTTTAACCCCAAATTCCCCTTTAAAACACCAAAACCCTCTGATTTTACCTCAAACCCCCTCATGAAACCCCCTCAGAAAAACCCCCTAAAACGAAAAAAAGAACAAACCTCCCATCCCTTAAAACTCTCCCCAACCTTTTTTTTATTTACCTTTAATGAATTAAAAAACACACGACTTTATTATTATTATTATTATTGTTTTCTCACCTTTTGCCGCTTTAAACCCGAGTCATGCCCTCACTCAAAATTGCGCCCGCCCCTTCTCCTCAAATCTGCCACTTTTTTACCTCAAATTTTACTCCAAAATGACGTTTTTTAACCCCAAACTCCCTCTTTTAACCCCAAAACCCGACGATTTTACCCCAAACCGGATTTTTTTATCCCAAACTCCCCCTTAAATCACCAAAACCCTCTGATTTTACCCCAAATCCCCTCACGAAACCCCCCTTTTACTTCCCCCTAAAACGCCAAAAAAACCCACATTTTCCCTCCCCTTTAAACCCTCCAAAACCCCCTTTTTTATCCATATTTACCTTTAATTAATTAAAAAACACACGACTTTATTATTATTATTATTATTATTTTCTCACCTTTTGCCGCTTTAAACCCGAGTCATGCCCTCACTCAAAATGGCGCCCGCCGCTCCTTTTTTTCCCGCCCTTTTCTGTTCCCGCCCTCACTCCCTGAGGGCGAAGGCGCCGCCGCCATTTTGAGCCGCCCCCCTCAGGGGCCGCTCTGCCCTCACCTAAGATGGCGCTCGCCGATGTTCTCCGCTGCCCGCAGCTCCCGGAGACAAAACCCTTTTTATCTCTCCCAAAATCCTTCGGCGAACCCCGGGAGAGCCCCGAGGATGTCCTGAGGAGCCTCAGGGAGCACCTTCCCGGCCCGCCGCGGGTTCTGGCGGCTCCTCCTTTGGGCTTCCCGATGGCGGATCCTCCTGAGGGGCCCGGCTTGCTGATGCTGCACGGCACCACCACCTTGGCTTTTAAGGTACAAAGTAATGAGGGGAAAAATAAAAAAAAAGAGGGGGTTTGGGGGGGAAAATAATTTAAAAGGGGGGTTGGGGGTTAAAGTAGTGAAAAAAGGGGGGTTCGGGGGGAAAGGGGCTTTTGAGGGTAAAAAATAATTAAAAGGGGGATTGGGGTTAAAGTAGTAAAAAAAGGGGGGTTCGGGGAAAAATGGGCTTTTGAGGGTAAAAAAAATAATTAAAAAGGGGGATTGGGGGTTAAAGTAGTAAAAAAAGGGGGGTTCGGGGAAAATGGGCTTTTGAGGGTAAAAAATAATTAAAAGGGGATTGGGGTTAAAGTAGTAAAAAGAGGGGGTGAGGGGGAAATGGGCTTTTGAGGGTAAAAAAAATAATTAAAAAGGGGGATTGGGGGTTAAAGTAGTGAAAAAAGGGGGGTTGGGGGGAAAACGGGCTTTTGAGGGTTAAAAAAATAATTAAAAAGGGGGATTGGGGGGGGGTAAAAATAGTTTATCCTCCTTTTCCCCCGTTTAATGGCCCCAAAGCACCTTTTACCTCCATTTCCTCCCTTTTTACCCCATTTAATGGCCCCAAACCCCTTCTAATGACCCCAAACCCCCTTCTAATGACCCCAAACCCCCTCTTAATTCTTTTTTTTCCCCCATTTAATGACCCCAAACCCCCTTTTACCCCCATTTAACGACCCCAAACCCCCTTTTATCGCCTTTTTACCCCCATTTAATGACCCCAAACCCCCTTTTATCCCCTTTTACCCCCATTTAATGACCCAAACCTCCTTTTATCCTCTTTACCCCTATTTAATGACCCTAAACCCCTTTTATCCTGCTTTTACCCCCATTTAATGACCCTAAACCCCTTTTATCCCCTTTTACCCCCATTTAATGACCCCAAACCCCCTTTTATCCCTCTTTACCCCCATTTAATGACCCCAAACCCCTTTTATCCCCTTTTACCCCCATTTAATGACCCCAAACCCCCTTTTATCCCCTTTTACCCCCATTTAATGACCCCAAACCCCCTTTTATCCCCTTTTTACCCCCATTTAATGACCCCAAACCCCCTTTTATCCCGCTTTTACCCCCATTTAATGACCCCAAACCCCCTTTTATCCCGTTTTTACCCCCATTTAATGACCCCAAACCCCCTTTTATCCCCTTTTTACCCCCATTTAATGACCCCAAACCCCCTTTTATCCCCTTTTTACCCCCATTTAATGACCCCAAGCCCCCTTTTATCCCGTTTTTACCCCCATTTAATGACCCCAAACCCCCTTTTATCCCCTTTTTACCCCCATTTAATGACCCCAAACCCCCTTTTATCGCCTTTTTACCCCCATTTAATGACCCCAAACCCCCTTTTATCCCGTTTTACCCCATTTAATGACCCCAAACCCCCTTTTATCCCCTTTTTACCCCCATTTAATGACCCCAAGCCCCCTTTTATCCCTTTTTACCCCCATTTAATGACCCCAAACCCCTTTTAGCCCCTTTTTACCCCATTTAATGACCCCAACCCCCTTTTAGCCCCTTTTAACTCCCATTTAATGACCCCAAACCCCCTTTTATCCTGATTTTACCCCATTTAATGACCCCAAACCCCTTTATCCCTTTTACCCCCATTTAATGACCCCAAACCCCACTTTATCCCGCTTACCCCCATTCCATGACCCCAAACCCCCT